GGACTACATCCATGTGATGACTTATGACTTCCACGGCTCCTGGGACAGAAACACTGGAGAGAACAGCCCTCTGTACAAAGGCCCAGCTGACACTGGTGACTACATCTACTTCAATGTTGTAAGTATATTTTGTGAGACTGTGTCACAAATCTCAGGTCTGTGATCATACCAGTGATGAGAAGTTTAGAATTTCATCCTCCTGCCTCCATATGCTGGCAAAGACTTTAACAGTAATGTTTTTTATAGGACTATGCTATGAATTATTGGAAGAGCAATGGTGCCCCAGCTGAGAAACTAGTTGTTGGATTCCCAACCTACGGAAATACCTTCAAACTGCAAAACCCATCTGACAACGGTCTTGGTGCACCCGCTTCAGGACCTGGTCCAGCTGGACCTTATACACAGGAGGCTGGGACACTGGCTTACTATGAGGTATGTGTACTCTAATCACATTAATTTTTCAAATCATTTTAAGGAAGGCCCATGTGGAGCTTTCTGAATGGCTACCTCAGACAAAAAGCTGTCCAAAGATTTGCAGAAGAAAAGAGAATTAAAATAGTAGAGAGAATCTGGACCTGAAAACAAATGTCTTACCCATAAACTGAATATCACTACGCAGTTTAGCAGCAGGGGTTTCATACAGATGAATAGCCCTTTCTGAAATATAAAGATGATTCCTCCAGTACAAAACCAGAAATTACTGATATTATTTCTAGTGTCCATAAGGCAAGGAATAGGAAAAGAATGTTATACTTGATCTTTTGCCAGGAGTATCTAATGTGTCCAAGTAAGCCCTGGAACTTCTTAAGCTAATTTCATAAAAGCTAAGAAAAAGTTATTTATTCTTAAGGATAGATAAACCAGAGAATAAAACCAAGATAATGTCAGAGGTTAGACTTTTTCTTTTTTTTCTATGTTACTCACTAAATTCCACCTCTTGGGCCTTCACCCTAGATCTGCACTCTCTTGAATTCTGGAGCCACTCAGGCTTGGGATGCCCCCCAGGACGTGCCCTACGCTTACAAAGGCAACGAATGGGTTGGCTACGACAACATCAAGAGCTTCAACATCAAGGTATGGTGGCATGTGTGGCTCTGCTAATAATAAGGCAGGAGGCCTTCTGCAGTAGCAAGTCCCCGGAGTAACTGGGATTTCTCCTCTGGCACTGCACAGGTTGACTGGCTGAAGAAGAACAATTTTGGAGGTGCTATGGTTTGGGCCCTTGATATGGATGACTTCACTGGCACTTTCTGCAAGCAGGGCAAATATCCCCTGATCACCACCCTGAAGAACGGTCTTGGTCTGCAAAATGGCAGTGAGTAGCTTGAGTAGCGTGTGCTTCTTGAAGGCGACTCCCTAGCTCACTGCTGATGCAGGGCTTCAGAGACCCAGGGACCTTTATCTCTGGAGCCTTGGTGCATCAAGACTTCCTGTGGAAGCCCCAACCAGAGATTGCCCTGGAAAGATCCCTTCACTCTGCATCCCCTGGGATAAAAGAGGGAGATTGTAACTTGGACCTGGGTCCAGAGGTTTCAAAGGCCTGGTGTGAGCCAGAAGAGACTTTGGGGGAACGCACGTCAATAGCTGACCCCACCACTAAAGGGCCTATGGAGGGAGAGGAGGGCTGAGAGACTGTCAACACAAAAATAAGCCCTTTCCTGCTTTTATTTCAGACTGCGTGCCTCCGGCTCAGCCCAACCCTCCAGTCACTGAAGCTCCTAGCCAAGGAAGTGGAAGTGGGAGTGGGAGCGGGGGCTCAGGGAGCAATCCTGGTGGCTCTGGTGGGAGCGGCTTCTGTGCTGGGAAGGCCAACGGCATCTATGCAGATCCAACCAACAAGAGCAACTTCTACAACTGCATGAATGGTGAAACCTTCGTGCAGAGCTGCCAGGACGGCCTCGTCTTTGATACCAGCTGCTCCTGCTGCAACTGGCCATGAAGATACCAATGCCACTGCAGCAAACAGACCCCTCTGGTCTAATTGCACAGAATGAGTAAATAAAGTATTCTGCAAAAGCAACAATCCTCACTGTTTCAACTCATCTTGCTCTTAGTATTTTGATGCTCCCTGATTCTCTCGTGATACTCAACACTTGTGTTCAGGAAAGGGCCTGACTGCACAAGCTGGGCTTATATTTCGGAATGGCATTTTCCAGGGGTTTCTCACTGCCCTACCTTGACAGCCAGGCACAGGGAAAAAGAGAGACAGCAAAGAACAGTGCAGATCAGGCTGTGCCACGAGAGAGGTCACAGAGAAGGGTCCTGACAGCACAACCCATAGCCTGCTTCCCCAGGGACCCCTCCCTTACTGACTTAGCGTGCAAACAGCAGCTCCTCGGAGTGGGAGCCAGAAGGGTGCAATCCACAGGGATGTTATCAAACCTCTTCCTTTTAAACAGCCATAAACTGGCACTTTCCAGGGCTTTCTTGCTGTGCCAGTGGGGCAGTCAGCAAGAAGGAAAAAAAAAGCACTATTAATCCTCCTCTTTTCTTTGCACCCTTCAGGCACTGCCATCACCAGCATTCCCTCCAGCACCCCATGCTCTGTGTCTATAGCAACTGGAGTACACACACATCCCGACGTCTGGCAGGGCAGCATGGCAGCAGAGTGGGAGCCAAGAGGTGAGCCATGCGAGGTGTGTGCACCCGGGGCAGCTATGGGCACAAGGGCTTCCCTTCTCACGCACCTCCCCATCGTCACCGGGCTTCCCCAGCAACCTTCCCCACAACTGAGCTGCTAGGCTACTCTTTGCTCAGGCTGGGGAAAAAGAAGCCTTTGTGGCAGGAGGGAACAGGCATCCAAAGGGCAGACCCCTTGCAAATATCCAGGGTCAGAGGAAATTCCCATCTGGGAGATAAGGGGATGGTTGGCCTCAGGCAGAGAGCAGCAGACACTTAAGAGGGAAAACAGCAGCAAGCGGTCACCTCCACATGGGTTTATCACACTGGTGGCTTTTCCCTCTCCTGGTCTCACAGATATGCAGAAGCAGATCTCATTTGGGTCATGTCAAGAGCGGAAAATGTTCCCCCTCCACCATGCCCCAGACAGGCTGGGAATCCAGCTAGGAGCCATCAGGGGAGACCCTGCGCTGGGGCCAGGCTGTTACCTGGGTCAAGAGGTAAGCTGTTCGGTTTTCATGCTCAGAGGTTTTTCTTCACAGAAGACACACAGTGCAGGAGCAATAGGACCATGGCCAGCTGGACATGGAGTTCCCCACACCTGCCCTACAAACCCATTGTAAAGGTCTCCATATATACTTAGAAAAAGAAATTCCCCTCCCCTTCCAAATGTACCAGCCCTCAAAGCTCCAGCTGCCCTAGCACTCTATATTAGTAAGAAATTAGAAGAATTAATAGGAATAATGTCTGCTGCTCATGTACTTCTGCCCTTCCCCTGATGCAAATGGTGTCTTAAAAGTGTTAGTAAGACACTTCTGCTTTTAAACAACAGGGGAGCAGCCTCGGATACTCTTTGGAAAACAAACCACTGAGCAAGAAAGGCTATGTGATAGGAGCAAGAACAGCCCAGCGTTTCATATCAGAGCCACCGGTAAGAAAAGCACACTTCAGAGTGGCAGAGCTGCAGCTTTGCAAGAATTTGTAGGCTGTTCCCAACATAGACTATCAGTTTCGATCACATTTGCTGGGGCTGCCTCCAACTTCATACATACAGCAGCTACAGATCTCCTTACACTTAGCCTAGTGAGAGGTGTAGAGCCTAGAGACCAGTGACTGATCATATGAGCTGTGGCAACATCAACACATATACATTTGTGTATACACATTCCTTTGTATCACATACACACACATGTAAATGTACATATTGAGGCAAAATCAGGGAGGGAGCTCAGCTATACTACCTGAACAAACACACTATGTTTTCTGGCCCAACTTCTCTAGAATATATTAGGAGAGACATCACAGGACAGTCTGGATAAGAAGCAGGGAGTACATAACTGACTTGTTCCAATTTTTTTTAGGCTGAGTAGCCAAAGCATGCCTTGAACAGCAGGTCTGTAATGCCCAGCTGGCTGCTGATCACAGCATGTAGGAATGGTTTGCAGAAAATAATATTTCATATAGAAATTTTCTCTCTTGTAGACTGTGACTCCTGGCCCAGCAACATACCAGTCATTCTGGAAGAAGGAGAGGAAATGCCAGCCTGCCTACGCTCCGTTTTCCATTAAGACACCACGATTTCCAGATAAGCCTTCAAATAAAGAATTTTTCCCTGGGTAATGTAACTCATTTTCTCACACTTTTAATAATAAGCAGGAGTACTAGCAGAGAGAAATACTAAGACACAAATGAGAGATAGGTAACTGAGTTCCCGGTAATGCTTTTTTATCTTCAGAAAGCTCCCCTGCTTTAGTCTTTAACTTAGCATGATGACTAGAATACCACAACATGGATTTCTCCCAGGGATCGAGGTAGGGCTGCTAAATTTTGGTATTACAAACATCATACACCAGCTCCAGAAATGAGGTATTTTGTGCCTGCTTCTTTTAGACCTGGAACTTATGAAGTAGACAAGCAATTACACAAAAAAATCACTTGGCCGATGAAGTTTGGGTCTCCAGACTGGTCTTTAGTGCTGATGCCAGCAAAGAGGATGCTAAAAATGGAGGTACAGAAGGTAAGGACAGGGATAAGGGGATGTTATTCCTGTCTCAATGCTTCTGGAAAAGGAAATTGTATGATTACTTCAACACATTTGCACTATGTTTTGTCATTCTTTCCTCACTGGCCTGCTGCGTACATGGCTCTACCAGCCTGAGGCATAAGATACAAAGTGATTTTCTATCAGAAAATGCTGGTTTGCAAAAAACAGTTAACAGTCCTTCAAAAAAAACTTCTATTAAGAAATTTTTCCATCCACAAAGTGAGAGAACCAGAGCACAGCCTTCCCCATGCAGCTCTGCTGAGAAGAAAACCTTCCTGATTTAAAATATAAGTTAAGATTCTCGACACCACCTTACAACTTCCTGCGCTTTTCTGAAGCGATTGTCATTGCTAATATCTAACAGATAGCAGTTGTCTTTTAGCTGACCATAGACAGAGAATTCAGGAAACACCGGGACCGAGTGGCCTACCTGAGTTTATACAGCAGCTGAGGAGCCAGGGCTGCTGCCAGATGCCCTCCCCTTCTCAGGCTTCACCTCTGCTTCCCACCCACTCGTGGAGACACTCATCTGCACCACCCAGCCTCTCGAAATAAAACCATTTCAAAAAAAAGGTATTTCTTGCCACTAGTTGTGCTTACCTGGTATCGCACCAGGTGTCTGCTGCCTCTCTGGGTGTTTGGGTGCTGCTGGGTGCCGCACACAGCACCCCTTGGCCTAGGCAGGGCTGGCGGCCATTTTCCCTGGGTCACCATGAAACACCTCACCTCACCATCCTTCCCAACATGGCTTCTCTCGCCACAGGGGGCTTTTCCCCCCCAAAATCCAGCCCTTGCAGGCACCAGAGAGGAACCAAATTAATGCAGCTAGAAGGCAGCTCTACTGCTGCTCCATCTCCTCAGCACTGGGAGCAAACGCCACCACCTTCTCAGCCACCACCTGCCTTCCCCGGCCTCCTCACCACCACCAGCCTGAGGAGAGCTGAGAAACATGGGGACATACATAGAACACCCACCGGTACTGCGCTGCCCTCAGGTACGTTCAGAGGGAGTATAATGGCTTTGTGCACAGCCAGCAACTGCATTAAAGTAGCACATAGAATGGCTGTGCTGGGGCAGGTTAGAGCAGATGGCCTGCAAGATGTACGTTTGCATTACTAGGTTTTTCCCTGCTGACATGAGGAAGATATTCTCAAGCAAGCAGCAAACAACATGCTGCTAGCTGAAGAATCTGGCCACAAAAATAAATTTAGTCTGAAACAGAAAGGTGATGGTATTCATCATGAGTTGTTTCTGTAATGTACAACTCAGACCCTAGGGATTTCTATAAATATTTACAAACCTTTACACACAGACTGAATCTGTCTGATCACAAGCTTGATTCAATCTCAGGGGGAAACTAAGAGCAGGCAACCTTCATTCTCAGTATAACTACCAGTCACAACGCAGGCTTTCAAATTTTCTGGGTCTGTTTAGCTGTTTTAGCAAATTTCACCCAAAGCCCAATTTCAGCTATAAAACCAAGATGCATTCTTCCCATTTCCCACTTTCGGTCTTCGAGTTCTCTCACATACGCACGAAAACAGCTGCTCAGGACCTGTCTTTTCTAGGCACGTTGGCCTTTCCTTCCCAACCACAAGCTTTGTAGTTGCAGCTGTCAAAAAGGGATGTACTCGCGGAGTCGCAGTTGCCCCTTTTGGTGCAATCTTTTGAAGGAGGGGGTATGACTTACTGGAAATTGTACTGTCCTAAGAACTGGGTTTTAAGGCTGTTTAAGGCTTCACCCTTTTTGTATTCATGGCTGATACTGCATACTTCATCTCCATCTGTCTTCATTTTCTAATCAGGAGAAAAATACATGTGTAAGAGAAGATGTAAAAGAAAGTAAGCAGCACCTCTGATTCTGCAGTCCTTCTCAACCACATGTTCCACCTGTGATTGGAGAAACCTTCTACTAAAGGTTTTGCAAAACTGATGGTATTTCAGAAGGCACTTTGTCCTCGCTGAGCATGTTTCTAATGAACCAAAGTTTTTGTTGGAAAATTCCCACCCTTCTCAGCCATCAGGTGTTGCTGTGGAGAAGGGAAGAGCTGCAGAAGGAAGGACAAGACTTCCTACTGCCTGTAGACCCCACTGAAAACACAGTCAGGCTCCATTCAGGTGCTTTTCCACTCCTGAAACTTTAAGGACTCAGCCAGTTTTGCTTGTAGGAGATAAAATTTCTTTTATTATGAACATAAAAATGACTGTTTTCATTCTACATTTTTCCCCTACCCAGCGAGGGATTTTCTCATTACGAAAAATGCTTACTCCAAGTAAAAAAAGATATAAATTTTTATATATACATACATACATGCTGTCTCTGTACATTTATTATTCTGTACAACCAAGGCACCAGCAGAAGTGACAATGGCACATGCAGGACTTTTTTGCTAGAGATGTCATTTCAAATTGTTCGGCAGGAACACCTCCGTTCTTGCTGAAACAATTACTCCTTTTTATCTTCCTCCTCCCTGGGTGACAGGAGGATGCCTTAACTAAACAGAGATGAACATGTACACATAGAACTCTGATCTCCCCAGTGACTGCGACAGGCTTCTTGCATTCAGCTGCTACTCTCGGAAACCATGACCTGCCCGGCAATCCGTTGCAGGCAGTCTTTGCTGCCTCTCCCAGCACCACATTTTCATCTAGAAGAGATGCTTGGGAGACTGGACCAAACTACAGGAGTCTTTTGTCAAAGAAATTTAACCCAGATTTTGCCTAAGTAAAGGTTGAGTGAAAATTAAAGCAAAGCCCTCCAGGACCAGCTACTCCCATCACCAATCATTTGCACTGCTGAAATAAAGTCTTCTGCTCTGGGGAAGTAAAGGGGTGGGGGGAAAGAGCAACTTCTGTTGATAAAAGCCCATATTTAAGAATGGACAAAATAAAAAAGTGCGATCAATAGCATGGCCTTGCAGACTGCAATCAATACAGCTTTATTCCATATTCCAAGTTTTTCAGCACAGCATCTTTCAAAACAGCTGGGGAAGGCGCGAACTCTCAATGGAGTTGTGCTGTGTTGGAACTAACAATAGAACTGAAAAATAGCCTGAAGCAGCTGTTAAATCTTGCCATTCATACTGCTAAAAAATAATCTCAAAGCAGAACAAGGTAAACACCACACTTAGCACTTTTAAGTTAGAAGTGCAGCTGCAGTCAGAAAAGTGAGAATAAAATGCCATCTTAGCTCTGTATTTACACTTCACTCTTACCAACACATCAGATGCCTTTAGTTTATAAAAGGAAAGTCTGTTTGCTTTTACCTGCCAAGAATCCAAAGAAAGAAACGTCTCTGGGATTTTTCTGTCTGTGTTAATACATGCTCCTTAGATTATAAGGCCAGGCAAGGTTGATTGCAGAAGTTTCTTTTCTAGCCTGCCAGACAGCCACAAACGAATTATGTCTTTGTATTCTGTAGAGCCTGCTGGGAAGCACTGAGCAGCAAGAATCTTTGTGTCCCCCATATTTTCGGAGAGTAAATCCTGCCGACAGTGAGAACAAACCAAAGCAAACGAGACGATTCCCATCTGGAACCTGGTGGCCTTCAACGCTTTTAAGGCAATGGACTGTTGATCATTCCAAGTCAGCAGGAGAGCAGAGGGGAAAGAGGGAGTGCTGCAAACCAGGATGAGAATGTAGTTCCCTAGGCAGACAAAGATCACTCCTCTGCTTCTGCCACTCAGCCGGATTGCTTTTCCTGTCTTGCTCCATGCCTCTCACCCACAGCAGCAGAGGTGAACCCCCCGGGTTCCTCTTCCTCTGAGCAGCCAGCTGGCTACACCTCACTTCTTTCTGCGGATCTTGGGCTTTTTTACTGGCCGGAGGTAGGGATTGTCTATCACATTTTCTTCCCCGTTCCGACTGCCTGACAAGGAGCTGTTCTGCTGTAACACTGAAGCGTTCTCCTTTTCAGGTCCTGAATCATCCTGCCACATTAAAAAAAAAACAAAAAAAACCAAAAAAACCCCAACATAAACAACCAAAGTTGGTCTAAACAAGGCTTACAAGTTCAAACCACATAACCCATGGGCAAAAGAGATGAATAATAAACAGCCAAGATAAACAGCAGCACACAAGGAGCTGCATTAAAGGTGAGGACTCCTGATTTCTAACACAAGAAGATCCCCTTTGGGAACAGTGTCCCCTCAGACAATCCTCTCCCCCCTAACACTGAAATGAAGGTTGTACTGAAAGCTCATGATTCATCCTCATTAACTGTGCAGAAAGTTAAAGAACCATGACAACATTTAGTCATTTACACCTGGTAAAACACAACCCACTGTCATTTTCCACCCACTCTGCCCAGCTGCAAGGAAGACAGGCGAAGAACCAGGTTTCATATGTCTAAGAAAGTCAGGCCCAAGAGACCTTGATCTCTCAGGCTAGGCGTACCGTGCTCATGTGCAGAGGGAGGTTCTCAGTGTCTGTCTGGTCGTCTTGCTCAGATGAATCCGTTTCTTCCATTTGCTGCATTTCCAGCTCAGAGGGGAGAAGAGCTGTCAGGTAGGGTACAGTGAAAGGCCTGGCAGCAATCACTGGGGTAGGGAAAAGGACACAGTCAGCAAGCTGGAAGACAACTCCTCCAGTCAGAGATTATGAAGCACAAAGCCAACCAGCTACTTAGAGACCAAACACTGGTTCTGGTTTTAAACACACTGCTCCCAGGGATCAGGAATGAACTATGCTGTCCCTAAAAGATGGCAGTGTCTAATCTCCTATTTTCAGAGGCCCCTTTATGTTTCCAGACAAGGACACAGCATTGTACTAACACAAAAAGTCCTTCCTGACCTCCATAAATGTTCAATTATCTCACAGACTGAAGCATCACTTAGTCCCCCTTAAGATAACACTGACACCTGTGCTGTCAGCGAGCCTTGGGAAAGTGGGAATTCTCATCACTGCTCTGCAGACCGAGAAACAGGAAAACCTCTGCTGCCTGCCTCAAAAGGTAAGAGAAGAAATTACTTGTTTAAAAGTTACAGAGCGTCAGAGACAGAATTGGGATGAGCTTTGAATTTAGCACCTGCCAGCCAAGGCCAGCAGAAGCAAGTGAGCCTTTGGTGAGGGTGGACACCTACCATTTGGCTTTGATTCTGTTTTTCATTTCCCTTTTAAATAGAAAATTCCTCATTTCCCAGCCTTCCAGTGCCTCAGAAGGGTGAACACAAGGTGATCATTCAGTGCTCACCTCCTGCAGTAGCAAGAACTCTAATGGAGCGTAGACTCAGTTAAACAGCTGTCATTTACAGCACAAAGTGTCCTAGATAACTCACATGGGAATGTGCTAACATCATCTTTGAACAGACTCTGTGTTTCTCCTGTCTTAGCCATGAAACGTGTGAGAGCTCTTTCTACATCACGCCGTTGAGACGCTGCCTTTTCCCGTAGGACTTGATAATCAGATACTGGCTCCCGGTACGTCTGTGGAGTAGGGAGGGAAAAAAAGAA